TTGTTCCGCTGACACGTTTTAGGGTCTCTAGTAGCATAAAAAATCAATTTAGAAAGAATTTGTTAAATTGAGTTTTAGAAAAAGTCAAGAGGAGACTGCAAAAGAGCCGAAGGAATTAGTCCTTATCTGGCGAAAATTAAAAAACTACCGATATGGTGGACCCCTTCAAATACAAAAAAGGAAGCTAGTTTTTTGTAATTGAAGATAGGATACAAGAGATGATTTGAACCGGGCATGCAAAACTTAGACCCCTCGGACCCCCCTGCCCCAAGTGATAACGGTTTCCGGAAGAAGAAATAGCCCTGTTCGAACTTGGTAACTAGCAAATGTAATTGGACCAAAAATTAGTATGGTACAGACCTAGTTGAGGGAAGATTAAGTTTGGAACCCCAGACTCCCTGGATCCCTAATTCTGGTGTTATGCCCTAAGCAAATAGTCCCCACCCCGACTTCCGTAAGACATTTCTCAGTTCCCGTTAATCTCAGGGAGCCAAAACATCGGTATTTAAGTAGGCAGTGACAAGGGCCTTCATCGAACTTGGTAACTAGCAAATGCAATTGGACCAAAAATTAGTATGGTACAGACCTAGTTGAGGGAAGATTAAGTTTGGAACCCCAGACTCCCTGGACCCCTAATTCTGGTGTTATGCCCTAAGCAAATAGTCCCCACCCCGACTTCCGTAAGACATTTCTCAGTTCCCGTTAATCTCAAGGAGCCAAAACATCGGTATTTAAGTAGGCAGTGACAAGGGCCTTCATCGAACTTGGTAACTAGCAAATGTAATTGGACCAAAAATTAGTATGGTACAGACCTAGTTGAGGGAAGATTAAGTTTGGAACCCCAGACTCCCTGGACCCCTAATTCTGGTGTTATGCCCTAAGCAAATAGTCCCCACCCCGACTTCCGTAAGACATTTCTCAGTTCCCGTTAATCTCAGGGAGCCAAAACATCGGTATTTAAGTAGGCAGTGACAAGGGCCTTCATCGAACTTGGTAACTAGCAAATGTAATTGGACCAAAAATTAGTATGGTACAGACCTAGTTGAGGGACGATTGAGTTTGGAACCCCAGACTCCCTGGACCCCTAATTCTAGTGTTATGCCCTAAGCAAATAGTCCCCACCCCGACTTCCGTAAGACATTTCTCAGTTCCCGTTAATCTCAGGGAGCCAAAACATCCGTATTTAAGTAGGCAGTGACAAGGGCCTTCATGTTTTAAAATTTCAGCCAAAAGCGGCAGGTGGACCGGAAGTTATAAGCACTTGGAACAAACACCCCTTAGACCGGAAATAGGCAGTTTATGCAAAATAATGAGCGACGGCATATTGGTTATATGGCAGTAATAGACACCAGACGCCAACACTGAGAAAGGTCTCCTTGTGAGTAAAAGCCTCCGGCGACTACTTCTGGTGTTAATAGCCTTTTACCGGAAAAAAGGATATTGGACCTTAGATATGTGATAATTTCGGAAATTATTAATGGGACATGGGTGAAACTGCAAATTTAGGACCCCGTTGGGATTCTGAAAATACGGACGACTGATAGCGGGTGACCCGGGAGATCTTTAATTGTCCTTTGGGTGTTTAGGACCGAAACTTCATAGAGAAATTTTGAGGGATTACCACAGGAAAGTGGCGTGTCCCCAGCCCCAACCCTTTGAAAATGAAAATCGATCAACTTTGTAAAATCTTTGAGGGAATTTAACTGTTGGGAACTGAAGCAGAGGTTGAAAGAGACATAGTTTTTACCCTGTAACATCCAAGTAGTGAAACTAAATGTAGTGGACTTTGCAAACATTGGGTTCAGCTTAGCTTGTCTAATGAGCTATTAAAAAAATCAATTAAACCAAAGAAAAAGCGTCTCAAGGGAAATCAAGGAATATACCATAGGAAATAGTTTTCATTAAAATATGTATGCAGGGGTTTTTTACTTAGCTCCCCGGAGGCGACTCTTTGGCACATTTAACACCTAATTAATGAGTTCCGTTCCCCTAATAAATAGATGATCGGGATTGAAATAGAGTATGAATGGGAATTTTAGATGCTTGGTATGAATTAGCGTCTCAAGGTCTTCCACTACCACCGTGAGGTCGGATCGTTAACGGTATGAATAAATAAAGTGCTTGGGAAGTTAGTGAACTAAACATAGCATGGATTAGAGGTGAAATTAAACTATTTGAAATTAAGATACTTGTACATTTTAGTCAGAAATATCTTTACAGAACTTGGATTTTAGGACTAGTGTCGACAGAGGAAGAATTTATATAAGACCTTGCGAAAGGGGTACCAAAGTAAATGTCAAGACTTGTAGGGATGACCATAGCTCTACAACAAAAAACTCTATTTATAATTCAAAAAGACATGGCGGAAAAGTTACGGACAGCCTGTCATTGGGCAGAACAGTTGGTACTGAGTTATAGTTTAGTTGGTTCTCGTAGTTAGAAAACAGGATCTGAGAAAGTTGGAGGAAAAAAGCCCAGCTGTGTGACTTAGTGTCTCAGCGAGTGATTTAGCGAGTTAGTGAATTGGGCTGACCCGGGGTTAGATTCCGGTTACTTGCAAATGGCATAGTTCCGAAGGGAGAAATTGTTGAATAGTTTAGTCGATTGAATCCAAATTCAGTACCGGGATGAATTAATTGCGTCAACGAGTTGCGCTGCAAGAGTTGAGAATCGTTGGCGAGTTTTGAATCAATCGAGTCAAGTGAAGTCCGACGAGTGAGTTAACCAAGCGATTGAACGGAACGAAACCCGGGCTTTGTTATTGAAGAAGTCAAATTGCTTAGCTCATTAAGGGCTCTCTAATTTGTTTTTTTTTCTCTTTGCGGTTGAAGAAGAATTTATTTAATGAATTGCTGAACTAGCTAGAAACGCAAAAGGAGAGCCGAATATAGCATGAACCACGGATAAAATTGCGTTATCCTCGATCGGCCGATTTAGTCTGACCATTGACAGAACCCTTTCGAGATTGTAGAACACAACACCTAGTTTTAGTGTCCCCCACTATTACAAAGTGAAACTCTTCATCCCCTATCCACACTGGGGGTTTACATTTTGGGCGGGCTTTAATTTACTGGGTGCTATAATGGAAAAGACCTAAATTATTTAAAGTTTGTTGGGTTATGGTCTTTTTTGGTGCAGCAGTCGGCTCTTTTCAAGTTTCTCACCCTTCGTAAAGTTAAAGAAACAAGCTGTTCAAAAATCGATCAAACGGCATTTTACATCATTAAATGTTGTAAAATTTTTTGGCGTGATCACTGTGACACTTTTTAATGCAGTTTGTAATTTTAAATCATTTTAAATAGACTTTCATTTATTGATTTTCGGAAAAAATTAAGGGGAAAACTAGAACAGAGCTCTGGACTCCACTGAAAAAATCAAGGACCAGTGATTGATTGTTTAAGAAGCAGAGAATCGGTGTTGTAATAATTATCAAAGTTACACCAGTTTGAAAAAAAATCAACAAAAAAAATAATTCCTACCTTGTTCCAATAAAAAAAAACAATTAGCGTTCAATGGTAAGTACATAATGAAAGTAAACTTCAATAGATATCTAAACAATTTCAGTTTTCAGACTCAAACGTATTGAACACTGAATGAAAAGATGTCTACGTAAATCTACTTTGTTCTCAATTAGGCGTCTCGTTTGTTGAGTCACAGCAGTGACAGTCTGAATTTGATAAACAGACGGCAGAACAACCACCCCTCCTCTGCACTGGTTCCCTCTGGCTACCCTAAACTAGCCCCCCGGACACCTGTCGATGCTTCTCAGGGTGGGGGCACTAACAGTGGTGGCAGTGGCAGTAAGGGGTTCCTGACCTCCCATGCCAACAATCTGTGGGGGTCCATTGGGACAGTTGTGCCTACTGATACTAATAGAATAAAGGGAAGCGGTGGGGGCAATGGTCTGGTGCAACATAGCAATGACTCATCCACCGAGTGTGGCTGTTACGTCTGTGCCAGGAGGAGACTCAACGGTACATGTAAATTAAGAGAGCGTATGGGACTACCTCTCCCCCTACTTTGAGCATCAATTTTATGCTTCAACGACTAGTTTTACAAGGATAAGTATGAACAATAAATCTGTATGTCATGGCTTATATTCAAAAAAAGAAATTTGATGGGAAAAATGAAAAAAGCGAGATGGAGGTGGTAATCATTGATCAAATCATTCAAGCTCAAACTGAATTGAGTTTTCGAAATGGTCTACCCCCTCCCCCTGAGCTTGAAAAGATATGATAATAACGAATACGAACAAATGAGTATGATACTGTTTAGTCAATGCAACATTTTAAACTGTTCCTAAAACAGACGTTTCTCTTGTAATATTTCAAGTTGATTTCTTTCCAGTTTCCCATCCTATGGTAACACAATATAAAGCACCAAAAGAGTTCTATCTAGCTCAAACTGGTTCCTGTTAAGTTTTTTAAAAAGCAACTAGGGTAGCCAGTTGCTGTGAAAGCAACACAGAATGTTCCGACAACCCATATTTCAGCAATACAAATGAAACAAAATTGAAAAGTATTTGTGAAGAAACATTAGTTACCTTGAGAAAAATGAGTCTGAAAAAGATAAAATTTCTACCACGTTTTCTCAAGACAGTTTTTCATAAATTTGTTTCATTGCATGATGTAATGATTATTTTTCCACCACTTTTTCCTAGGCAATGTTTCACTTCAAAAAGACGGTTCAACAGCTTCGCATCACATTACAGACAGAAAAAGAATTTCTGCAGACGAGTTTCAAAGAGACAAAAACTGAACAGCGTCGCAAAAAGAATTTTTTTCGCTTTTGATTTCTTTAAAGTACGCTTTTGATATTCATAGTCAAAATGCTATCTGAAGTTCAATGTGAAGATAATTTTCCCATAACTATGCTGCAATTGGGAAAAAACGTAAGATTAATTGAAATTATTTCGGCAATTAGTTCGACTGAATTGGGCGACTTTTTCGATATGTCCTTAACAAAAAAAACTATTTAGCATAAGGACACATTTATTCAGTATGATCTTACTTTCAGGGATCATTTCTTGAGTGAGCATCTTAGCCTCTCGAGGCAAGCATGACGACCTTCGTCAGTCCGATGATAACTGGTTGTGTCTCCTTATAGCATGAGAGTGGCAGAGAATATTTACCTCTGCAGACGATGATTGCTTCCACAGTTGTGGGAGTTGGAAGTCCACTTTCTGAGGACTAGTTTAATCAACCAAGGCTGCTTTTCACTGTACATTTGATATGCAATTTTGCAATGAGCTGAAGGGAGTGGGCTACCAGTTGTGGGTATTGCATACCAAAATCTGCATCTGATCTGATGTGTTTGTTGTATTTAATAAAATGGTTGTTGTTTAGGGATGGTGAGCAAGGTGTTTGGCTCTGCCACCAATCTCAGCATCATTCTGCAGAAACAACAACAACAACATCACGCCACTCAACCATCATCATCAACAACAACAGCAACAGGACCAGTGTGTGAAGTGCCCTCCAGATCCACCAGGGCACTCCTGGACCACTACTACTCCTCCATTGGAAACAAAGGTATCCGCAGATATCTATATTATATATCTATAAGATCTTGGTATAAAGTATGCCATTGAATGGACTTCAACATTTTCAAGCACTCGGAGAAGCCTTCTAAATAGTTCAACAGCAAAAAAAGACACATTGGAGGCAAATTGAAGTACATCTCAAATCATTGATAAACATTTCTTTATGAATGAGAAGTAGTGTTTTCAAGAAAAAAAACATCTGGCACTTGAGTTCAAATGTGTTCTGCAGGGATCCAGATTGCGCAGCCCGTTCTCAAATCCACCGCAGCTGGATCCTCCTCTTCCTGTCTGGGGGGTCAACTGGGACTGATGACAACAACAACAACAACAACAGGGAGAGGAGTGGGAAGCAGTCGGGCTAGTAAGGAGGCGGCGGCCACTCTGAGTGCATGTAGTAAGTTTGCAGGCAGCTGTCCCCTCCTCGCCTGTCCGGGACACCAACTCACCAGAATAGGTCAGCTGCTACATGTATACTTATATCTCATCTGATGCATTTTGAGGCTACACGATGACACTCTTGTTTCAAAACTTCACTGGCTGAATGTTGTGAATGGTTTGACTTCAAACACTTTTCTGTTAAAGTTTGACATGTCTCTTATCCTACAAGCAACAAACAAAAAATTACTATAAACCTATCCCATTTACTCTGACTCATTGTATTGTACTCTAATTGCAGGCAAAATATCAAAATTTGTGTGTTTCAGTGAGCGACAGATCGAACAAAAGACGAAGTGGGGCCAAAAGAGGGAGTGAAATCAGTGGGAGTCAGGGGAAGAGATCCAAGCGGGGGTCTACGAGACTGAGTCCGAATAGCAGACGGTGGAGCAGACTGGTGGGGGAGGGGAGGGGGAAGGGGAGGGGGAACAGACAGAATAGGAACAGGAGACAGCAGCAGCAGCAGCACTCGACGAGGTCCCCCCTCACTTCCGGCACCTACTCAGACACCACGGGGACTACAGTCTCCATGAGTACCACTAGCAACAACACTCTGAGTAGTACTATGAGCACCCTCAGCACAGGCAGCACCACAAGCGCCACTCTGCCCAGGTAAACTCACCAACACATCAGTGATGTGCGCAAGATTTCTTGACGAAGAGGGAGCGTTTCTCAGGAAAAAATCTGCAAATAACATAGTTTAGACCAGAAAACTGCGTTGCTTGATTTGGCACCAAGGGCGCTCTCAGAAAAGTCTGATGAAAAACTATATTTTAGGCATATTTGACATTTAGTAATATTAGCAAATTAGACAGTTTTTTAAGAAGTTTTTGGTCCCCAAAATACAGCTAAAAAATTCCAAAAGCTAATTTTACTAGCTGAACGCTAAATACTTAGGGCTTAAAATTTTGCATAATTAAGCTGTTGTATGACTGATCGCTTGCTTTATTCTATCAAAATAAGACGAAAAAAATTTTTTAACCAATTTATCTCAACACTAGAGAAATTTTTTGGGAATTTTTAAATATCTTTTGAATCACGACTGAAAGGGCTTTAATATGATATATAAATCAACCCTGTCCAATGATTATTTGTCGTACCTGATTTTGTGAGGAAAACAAAAAGAAAAAAAGTTAAACAGAACCGAATACAGTTCCTCCTCATTTTCAATGGTTAGAACGAAAACGAGAACTAATAACAAGTAAAATAAATGTGAAAATAAACTAGAAGTATATTTATCTGTATTTTTTGCTCGATACGCTTGCCAGAAAAAGCAAAACAATTAAACCGGTTTTTTCAACACTAAAGAATTCTTTTTAAAAGTTTTCAAATTGGTTTATTTATGATTGAAAGGGCTTTAATATGATATATTACTCGACGCATTCTGATGATTTTTATGGCACCTAATTAAGCGTTAAAAAAGAAAAAACTAAATCACATCCTAAGACAAAGTTTATGACCACTTAAATGTTCTGGCTAATAAAGTATTTTTTTTGCTGCGCGGTTAGCGCAGATAGTTTCGACTTTGTTTAACTTTTATAAAAAATCAGAAAAATATTTCTTTACAGATCCAAAACACTTTTAAATAGTCTTTATTGATTGTTTTGTTGCTGCTTTTCATCATTCATGAAAAATCAGAAGTCACAATTATTCGCCTCAGTAACAGGTACCTGCAGCATAAGGTGGGCCTCTAGCGAAGCTGTATGGTGTGTGGTTTTGTTGAGAAACTTAAGTTTCTCTCAAAAACTGATCAATCGAAAAACAAGTTACGGGGATTTTCCCTACAAAAAGGCCTACGCCCTAAGTTTTGTAGACAAAAAGTTAAGACTTCAAGGAAGCCTTTTTTGTCAATTTCTAGTTAGTTTTGAAAGTTTTTGACAATTGAAATTACAATCTCAACTATGGCCTTCAGTTTTTTATTTTAAATATAGGTAGGTGATGGGGATCTTACGTGGTGCTACGCCCTAATTCTTTCTTTTTTGACTTATATCGAAGATCGGATCAAGGATAAATCGAAAGCAATACTTGTGAGAACTTTTTCATTATTAAGCGGGCGAGTCAAGTTAATGCATAAACAATTCATAATGCGGATGTCGTGCAATAGCAGAAAAAAGTTCAATCATAAAAAAAATGTTCATTTTTTTGAATTCTTTTCGAAGAACGAAGAATTTGTTTGCGATTTAACTATTGTATGCTATTGCACGACATCCGCAATATATAATTGTTTTTCCAATCACTCTAAAAAAAAGAAAAAAATTAACTATGGATGCTAGTCTCTTTTTAAATTTTTTCTTTTCAGCCAATTTTGACAGCCCTACTGGTTATGATTTGAGTTCAAACAATTTAAAAAGTTGCCTCAGTGTCAAGAAGAACTGGTCTGATTCGTTCCTATTTTCAAACAAAATAAAAACTGATCAATCGAAAAACAAGTTACGGGGGTTTTCCCTACAAAAAAGCCTACGCCCTAAGTTTTGTAGACAAAAAGTTAAGACTTCAAAGAAGCCTTTTTTTGTCAATTTCTAGTTAGTTTTGAAAGTTTTTGACAATTGAATTTACAATCTCAATTATGGCCTTCAGTTTTTTATTTTAAAGATAGGTAGGTGATGGGATCTTACGTGGTGCTACGCCCTAATTCTTTCTTTTTTGACTTACCTCGAAGATCGGATCAAGGATAAATCGAATGCAATACTTTTGAGAACTTTTCTATTATTAAGCGGGCGAGTCAAGTTAATGCATGAACAATTCATTTTGCGGATGTCGTGCAATAGCATAAAATAGTTCAATCATAAAAAAAGTGTTCATTTTTTTGAATTTCTTTCGAAGAACGAAGAATTTGTTTGCGATTTAACTATTTTATGCTATTGCACGACATCCGCAATATATAATTGTTTTTCCAATCACTCTAAAAAAAGAAAAAATTTAACTATGGATGATAGTCTCTTTTTAAATTTTTTGTTTTCAACCAATTTTGACAGCCCTACTGGTTATGATTTGAGTTCAAACAATTTAAAAAGTTGCCTCAGTGTCAAGAAGAAATGATCTGATTCGTTCCTATTTTCAAACAAAATAAAAACTGATCAATCGAAAAACAAGTTACGGGGATTTTCCCTACAAAAAGGCCTACGCCCTAAGTTTTGTAGACAAAAAGTTAAGACTTCAAGGAAGCCTTTTTTTGTCAATTTCTAGTTAGTTTTGAAAGTTTTTGACAATTGAATTTACAATCTCAATTATGGCCTTCAGTTTTTTATTTTAAATATAGGTAGGTGATGGGGATCTTACGTGGTGCTACGCCCTAATTCTTTCTTTTTTGACTTATCTCGAAGATCGGATCAAGGATAAATCGAATGCAATACTTTTGAGAACTTTTCTATTATTAAGCGGGCGAGTCAAGTTAATGCATGAACAATTCATTTTGCGGATGTCGTGCAATAGCATAAAATAGTTCAATCATAAAAAAAGTGTTCATTTTTTTGAATTTCTTTCGAAGAACGAAAAATTTGTTTGCGATTTAACTATTTTATGCTATTGCACGACATCCCCAATATAATTTTTTTTCCAATCACTCTAAAAAATGAAAAAATTTAACTATGGATGATAGTCTCTTTTTAAATTTTTTCTTTTCAGCCAATTTTCACAGCCCTACTGGTTATGATTTGAGTTCAAACAATTTAAAAAGTTGCCTCAGTGTCAAGAAGAAATGGTCTGATTCGTTCCTATTTTCAAACAAAATAAAACAAAGTTTTGCTGATAGGCTGGGGGCTATTCTCATGCGCGAAGGACAGAATGCGCGAAAAAACTTGTGTGCGAAAAACCGAAAACAAAATTAGCCGAAAGTCAATTTTAAAAAAAGAAGCAGTTGCCATTCAATTACAAAAAAAGTAAATAAAGAAGCTGTTTGCTTCTTTCATTACGAAACCCTCCTAATGTAAAATTTGCCCCAATTTTGTGGCAGTCAATGACAATATTAAAGTTTTGCATATTTCTGCCGTTTTTGTATTCGGCCAATCTCAATACCCCAGTCCTTGGAAACGTTTACTTTCTTTCCAAATTTTAGATTACTGAAATCTGATTGGCTGATTTGTATTTTCACGCATTCGAACCTTCGCGCATGAGGGATTCCACCAATAGGCTGACCTCTTAGCTCTAGTTAAATTTTAATGCTACTTTTCAAATTTTTTTTCTGACTAATGTTACCGCTTTGTTTTTGTACTTTGCACACTTTTGAAAAGCGAAAATTGGACAACAAGAAGTGCAAAAACAAATTCAGAGGTTTTTGTGCTACTAATAATAGTCAAAATAATATACCGCAATATATAATTGTTTTTCCAATCACTCTAAAAAAAATTCTTTTCAGCCAATTTTGACAGCCCTACTGTTCATGATTTGAGTTCAAACATTTTTAAAAAGTTGCCTCAGTGTCAAGAAAAAATGGTCTGATTCGTTTCTATTTTCAAACAAAATAAAACAAGGTTTTGTTGATAGGCTGGGGGCTATTCTCATGCGCGAAGGACAGAATGCGCGAAAAAACTTGTGTGCAAAAAACCAAAAACAAAATTAGCCGAAAGTCAATTTAAAAAAAGAAGCAGTTGCCATTCAATTAAAAAGAAGTAAATAAAGAAGCTGTTTGCTTCTTTCATTACGAAACCCTCCTAATGTAAAATTTGCCCCAATTTTGCGGCGGTCAATGACAATATTAAAAATTTGCATATTTCTGCCGTTTTTATTTTCGGTCAATCTCAATATCAGTCCCTAGAATGTTTACTTTCTTTCCAAATTTTAAATTACTGAAATCTGATTGGCTGATTTGTATTTTCGCGCATTCGAACCTTCGCGCATGAGGGATTCAACCGATAGGCTGACCTCTCAGCTCTAGTTAAATTTTAACGCTACTTTTCAAAAAAATTTTCTGATTATTGTTACAGCTTTGTTTTTGTATTTTGCACACTTTCGAAAACAAAAAATTGGACAACAAGTGAAAAAATAAATTCAGAGGTTTCTGTGCTACTAATAATAGTCAATATAATATACCGTTTTCGAGTTTTTCACTTATGGGTATTTAGTTAAATAATTTAAACGTCACGCCAACAATTTCACTGCCTGGGAGAGCACCATTGGATTTTTTGGTCCGATCAAAGGTATCTCAGAGCATTTGAACTAACAATTAATTGGCTATTTTCCATGCTTTTCAAAGTGGATACTGTCTATAAAACAAGTTGAAACCTTTACCAGAAAAAAGTTTAAAAAACTGTTAATTAACTAATCGAAAATACTTTTATACTAATCGAAAATATTATGATTTTTTAATTAATTTAAATATTAATGTAATTGCACAGCAAGAGGTTATCACTGCTCACATTTGCTTCATGATAAGTTTTTGAACGGTGCATCGTACAAATTTATTTGTCCCGAAAATTTTTGCTATCATCGATTTTTTTAAAATATAAAATCTAGTAAAAAACCGGCAAATTGAAAACAAAATGGAACCAGATCTAAACTATAATTTATTATTGGTTATAAATTAGATATTTTATCTCTATAAAATATTTAATACTAACCAATCATATCCATCAAACTAACAACCCACTTATTTGTAAGTGCTGAAATTACTTGTAGACTACTTGAGACTAGTAGATATAAGAGTAAGATTAAGATCGGTATTAGACTAAGAAGTTGCACGAATCTATCCGGCCGAAAAAAAGATAGCGTGACGAGCAGACGGCGTACCCTATCTGAAATTACTCTATGAGTTAGACCTAAGAACTCAACTCAAAAATAATATATTAATTTAAATAAAATATGGCTGGCTTAAAACTTCGTCTGCTTGTAATTTCCATGTAACTTTTTATTGTTTCATCCAGACACAATCGGAGAGGAGGAGACGAAGAGACGAGGAGGAGGAGACGGACGAGACTGATGGAGTATCTGAATGAGGAGGTGGACAGCACCACCAGTTCCCTCTTAGAGACGAAGAGTGGAGACATGAATGAGTCCGATCTGATAAGGTCCTCGTCCGAGGTGTCTAATGGGGACAACTCCAGACTCACCCAGACTGACAGACTCAACATGACTGACCAGCAGACCAGTCCAGGTAACACTGCGCACACCACAATACAATATAATTGAACAAATGCAGTGGGTTTCCAAACCAAGATGCGATGCTAAAAAAGGCTGGAGCTTAATAAGTATTTGAATTGAAAATATTTTGAAGAAACTAATTCTACAGTCTGATATTTATACACAAAAACAGAAACCAGTGAACAAGAAAACGAAATGGTTGTAAAATAACAAATATATTTAAAATCAACGAGCAAGCCTAGAAAAAAAGAAAGAATTAATGATAATAGAACAGGGGCGGATCTAGAATTTTTTCTAAGGGGGGGGGGGGGGATTTTCAAAAAATTGTAAATCGGTTTGAAAAACTTAAGGTTTCATAGAACGAATCGGTTCCCGAAAAAATGAAAAATTTTCTAAGCAAGCTATTCAAGTTTTGAAATAGCTTGCTTAGAAAAATTTCAAAGTGTTTCATGAAGCGAATTGGATGACGGAACCTAAATATTTCAATGGTTTATTGCAAACTATTCAAGCAATAAACCATTGAAATATTTCAAATTGTTTCATAAAGTGAATCAAAAAGCAAAAAAGTTAAGGGAAAAGTTAAAAAAAGTTTCAAAAAGTTAAGTTTTTCTAGACAAGCTTGGCAATTTTTTTTTAGTTAGCTATTCAAGCTATGAAATCAAACAATTAAAGTTACTTCACAGAGCGAACTGGTTCGCCAAAGGTTCAAGTTTTTCTATGCAAGCTATTTGAAACGCGAAACTTTTAATTAATTCTAAGCTATTGCATACACTGATTTGGTTCACGAAAATTATAATTGTTTCGAAGCAAACTATTAAACTATGACACTTTGAGTTATTTCCAGTTTGTAAGGAAGCTGTTTAAGCCATAAAATAATTCAAGTTTCTTCAAAAAGTGAATCCGATTTCCAGGTTTTTCTAAGTTTTTTAGTTATTTTTTTTGCGCGAGCTTCTGGAGCAAGGAATTTTGAAAAAATCCAAGCTTATTCTTAGACCGAATCGTTTTTACCAAAAGTTACAGTTATCCAAAGCAAGCAATTCAAGCTATGAAACTGTGACATAATTCAGGATATTTAATGAAACAAATCGGTTCACGAAAAACTTGTTTTAGCAAACAATTCGAATCTTGAAGCTGTTCGAAACTTTGGAAACCACAAAACTTTTTTAAAAAATCCGAGTAAATTCATAGACTGACTCGGTTTGCGAAAAGTTGAAGTTTTACTAGGCAAGCTTTTCAAGCTATGAGACTTATAATTATTTCATGTTATTTCATAGACCGAATTGGTGTGCAAAAGTTTTCAGTTTTTGAAAGCAAGCATTTCAAGCTATGAAATGTTGAAACATTTCCAATTATTTCATAGTGCTGTTGCTCTGAGTGATTCTTAAAGTTCTGATCTGAACCTTTTTAAACGTTGCGCTCGATAGCCTCTTAAACATTAGGCCTTATGCTGAAAACGTGTCATTCATTTAATATATAAGAAGATTTGATGATTCGAAGATCTAAAGAGAATTCTACCAACATAGACTTCCTTTTCAAAATGAATTAGTCTATTTGCATCACAGGTACAGGTACTGTGGGGGACAGGTCGGAGAGAGGCAGGGCCACAGGGGGCGACAGGGGCAGTGCAGCGACAACTACTTCGGCCGACACTATGATGATGGGGGACAGTGCTGTGACCCCGACTGCAGCAAACAGCACTAGTGGAGGGGACCAACTGCAGTTCCTGGAGGACAAGTTGGGAGTCACACAGAGGGACTTGAAGGGCAATCCAGCCAGTGGTTCCTCAAACGGAGTCGAGTTGAGTCTCCTGGGGGATGTGAAACAGGATAAGGGTACAAGTCCTGGGGGTGATAACGGGGAGAATGTTCAGAAAAAAAGAGAGACAGGCACTTCGTTGAGAGGCCGTGGGGTTCGGGGAGGGGGCAGTAAAACCAAAAGTAGAAGTAAGAGGAGTGGGGCTGGGGAGGTGGTGGTGATGAAGGCGACATCTGCGGGGGGTTCCTCCAGCGACTTCGACGTTGAGGAGGACGAGGAGGAGGAAGATGACTACGAGGACGATGACGAGTATGAAACTGAAGAGGGAGAGGAGGAAGAAGAGGTATAAAGAGTAGCTTGAAGTGTGAAGAAAAACTGTTCCTTTTGATTCCTTTTACAGAACAAAAGTTTGAGAAAGTTTGATTTGACCTAAATCATGCTGTTGGAACTGATGAGTTTCAGAAAATTGGATTGCCTCATTTGCTATTTGATTTTGTCTAAAAGAAATTTGAATTGCACAGAGCATTTCAAAGTTAACATTTACGAGTCTCACTAATAAGAAAAACATTTGATCCTGTTGGTAACTTCTAATCATGCAGTTCTACATATTTTATCATTAGAAACGACCAAACGTATTATGAAGCTGATTTTTTGTTCCAGGATGAAGCGGCAGACAGCAAGTCCAAAAAGACAGGTGGCGCATTTGGAGGGAAACTGGAAACCAAAAAAACCACCGGAACATCCGCAGGAGCATCATCCTCTGCTAAGCCCAAGTCCACCAAATCCACCGCCAGTGGAGGGGCGTCCTCTTCAGCGGCCGCAGCCAGTGGTTCCAAGGCGTCCAAGAGCACGGCAGATGCCAGCTCCAAAGCCAGTGGGTCCAAATCCAAGAGGAAGACATCGGCAACCAAGGACACCAAAGCAACCACCAGTAAGCAGCAGTCAAGATTAAGATAATTTGCCAAGGAGAAAACTTCCAACATACGTATATGTCCATCTCTTTGCGTTTCCTCGTTAAAGTAGTCAATTTCAATACTTTTCTTTTGCCTGGCCTAGAAGTAGTTTTCCCTCTCAAGTAACGAGCATGTCCTGCATTTCTGTCCATGTTTTGCATTTATGTTTTGCATAGTACTGAAGTTATAAAAACTTTTGTTTTATCATCTGAAAAAGAGACAGCTGATTGATTTAGTTATGTTTTGTTTTAGTTAACGAGGAGGACGAGGAAGTGGAATATGAGTACTTTGAGGGGGAGGAAGAGGAGGAGGAGGGGGACGAGGAGTCAGTTTCGGGGGATAAGAAGACCACTGCTTCCAAGAACACCACTTCCAAACCACCATCTGGAGCGACCACTCAGAAGACCAAGACTGACCAGAGCTCTTCGCCGGTAAGTCGACAAATTGAACTTTGTTCCGCATCATAATAATTTGTTAGGAAAACATCTTAAGCTGACGGTAAATTGAATCATCAGAGAGAATCTTTTTAAAATTCTGAGCGTTCATTTCTGTGAACCACAATGACATAAAGTAACCCCAATGAACTAATTCGCTTTTTACAATATTGCTATTTATTTTTTTTCTTTTACGTGACAGTATATGCGAGTGACTAAATTCAGATGAACATATATTTGCAGGCGCCTACTTTACAAGTGACGGAAGGCAAGTCGGAAAAGAGTGGGAAATCAGGAGGCACTTCGGCGGAGAAGAGTGACGGGGGGTCAAGCAGAGAGAAGACAGATAAAGACAGTCAGAGATCCAAGACACAGGATACTAAGGGGGCCTCCTCTGCTAGATCAGGAAGCAAGTCCAATGCCACCAAGGAGACTGGCCAGAAGACGAAAAAGACCGCGGGAGATGGGGAGGAATCTGAAGGAAGTCAGAGGTCCAAAGGATCCAAAAAATCAGGAAGCACTGAGAGTAAGAAAAAAGGATTCGGAGTGGACGACAAAGAAGCGGAAAAGCTACACAAACTGTTCGAAGAAAAAGTGTCAAAAGACGGAGGGCCTAAGGATGCCAGCATGTTGGACTCTAAAATGCAACAAAAGTCCGAAATTTTGGAAAAAGATGGAGGCAGTATTGTTAAGCGTGGGAGCGAAAAATCCATAAAAGGCACAGCTGATGAAGAAGGCTCTCGATCTGGAAGAGACGGCCAGTCGAGGGATTCGCGGGGACAAAGCAACAGCAAAAGAGGCTCAACCGAGTCCCCCAGACGGACAGGAGATGAAACTAAGAGACGTGATTCCAAGCGGTCTTTATCATCAAGTAGAAAACCGACAGGAACTTCAGGCAGATTTGAAGGCGACGAAAGACGGGATCAAAATGATCCTAGGAGAACTGGAGATTCTAGGAGACCTGACGATCCACAATATGATGACCCTAGGGGAGCCGGAGCGTCTCAAAGGCCTGATGATCCTAGATACGATGATCCCAAACGAACCGGGGATTCGAGAAGACCTGATGATCCTAGGTACGATGATCCAAGGAGAACCGGAGCGTCACGAAGACCTGATGATTCTAGGTATGACAATCCCAGAAGAACAAACGGCTCTAGAAGATCTGGTGATCCTCGAGACGACCCTAGAAGAACCGGAGGGTCTAGAAGACCCGGTGATCCATACGATGACCCTAGGAGAAGTGGGGATCCTAGAGATGACCCTAGGAGGAGTGGGGATCCTAGAGATGACCCCAGGAGAACTGGGGATCCTAGAGATGACCCTAGGAGGACGGGTGATCCTAAAGATGACCCCAGGAGGACTGGGGATCCTAGAGATGACCCTAAGAGGAGTGGGGATCCTAGAGATGACCCCAGGTGGACTGGGGATCCTAGAGATGACCCCAGGAGGACTGGGGATCCTAGAGATGACCCTAGGAGGACTGGGGATCCTAGAGATGACCCCAGGAGGACTGGTGATCCTAGAGATGACCCTAGGAGGACTGGGGATCCTAGAGATGGCCCCAGGAGGAGTGGGGATCCTAGAGATGAACCTAGGAGAAGCGGGGATCCTAGAAATGACCCTAGAAGGACTGGGGAACCAAGGGATCCCTATAGATCTGGTGACAGGGGGTCAAAAGATTCAAGATATAGTGACCGTAGACGTTCAAGGGATTCAAGAAGAGCAGATGACCCAAGAGAAGAGGAGCGGAGGAGGACAGGAGATTCAAGGTAAGTAATTTGAATAAATAAAGATGGAGGCTCAAGGTACAGAATTGAATAAATAAAAAAGAAAGAATTGAATCGTTTGTTCATTATTTGATTCTAAATCCTTCCTATTAGTGGTGCACTAATTAGGTCGGGCTATTCAAGAAGATCAGATGAAAGAAGCAGAAGAGGATCGGAAGGTTCCAGAAGAACAGGCAGTCTCAGAAGATCAGGGGATCGAGGGAGGTCAGACGAAAGGAGGCGAGACGGTTCTCGCGCTCCGTCCGCGGAACGAGGTTCACGTGGTAGGGGTGCTTCGGGTGACAGAGGATCGCGCTCCAGAGGTGCTTCAGGGGACAGAGGGAGGTCCGACAGTCGAGATAATCGAGATTCCCGTTTGAAATCAGGAGATAGAAGTGGCAGCAGACGAAGAACAGAAGATGGAAAAGATTCAAAAAGACGGACTGAGCAGGAAATTTTAGATGAAGTTCGCGAGCACGGAGAGGGAGAGGGAGACTCGGAAGAACTGTTAGATCCAAAAGGGTCCAAATCTAAGAAGGAATCGGGAAAGGGATCATCGCGCGAGTCAAGTAAGGGTTCCAGGGGATCCAGTCGGGGTTCGAAAGAGCGAGGGTCCAGTAAAGGTGGCTCTAAAAGCAAGTCAAAGTCGTCGTCGCGGAGAAGCAGAGGTCGCTCAGATGAAGAAGAAGGAGACGAGAAGAGAGGGAGTAAGAGCAAAAGCAAAAGCAGGAAGACCACGGGAGGTTCTCCGAAGTCTATTCTGAAGAAGAGGAGTCAGTCGCAGACTGAGACTGAGTATGAGGTGGAGTACCTGGATCTCGAAGAGATGCAAGACCAGGATCCCAGGTGAGGCACTTATCATAATGATAAGGCTTTCACTTTGCGATCGTGAGATCGTGAGTTCAATCCGCTGCCAATGGCAATGAAATCCTTTGATCTCTAGCTTCAACTCTACCTCAGCCCGAACGATTTCGGCTCAATAGTGATGAAAATCTAGTCTCAAAAAACAAACTTGAGTCGCAAAAAATTGCTAGAACATTATAACTCAGTTTGCAATGGACTATGCTTAGACAGGCTAGATGCTCATAGTCCCTCTGCGGATTGTAGAAATCACAACTATTAAGAAACATCATGAAGCTAAATTTGAATAAACACGTTAATTATGAGTCTCAGTGATAGCACCGAGATCAGTACGAAGCAACGGTGGATTATCAACTAATGCCTAATTGCTTTTTCGACAGCCAAGGACTCCTGTTCTAACTTGTATCGCATCAAACTATTAGTAATTGCTTTGAATGGTTTTAGTGAAGTAGTTTATTTGACTCTATTGAAGTTGCTTGCTGAAACTGTGGCTTTGTTAGATCTAAGGGTCACCGTGAGAGGGGGAAGTCTTCTGGGCGAAGGGACAGCAGGGATCCGGATGCTGAGTTGCCAGGGGAGAGGAGCCAGAGTAGAAGTGGGAGTAGAAGTGGGAGTAGAAGTGGGAGTAGAAGTGGAAGCAGAAGCAGGAGCAGGAGCAAGAGCAGGAGCAGGAGCAGCAGTCCCCGGAAGAAGAAGAGTCCAAAAAAGAAGAAGAAGAAACCAGAACCGGAACCAATGATGGTACCAGAAGAGGTACGCTTTAATTACAGTTACTTGTGATCGTCATGACGCGACCTTCGGTACCTCATTCCATTCTATTTACTTATGTATGTCTTATATAACTATGTCTTAATTATTTAGTTATAGTGCAGTAAATTGATTCAAGGACAAATCTCACCAGCCAAATCGTGTGTCACTTGAGAAGCTGAAGCGGCCAGTTGCGAAAGCCTAATGTGTGAAATCTAGTCGATAAAAACATTCGTGTTAATAAAACAATCTAATCAATCTGGAATTGTTATTTCTATATACATCTATTTATATATCATATTTAATTCAGTATTCAATTTTTACAAAACTGTTTTCCCCTCTCCAACTGAGGGAAATCTCATGGCGCAGCCAGCAATGCCTGTGAATGAAGACAGGACTGACCTACTCGGAATACCACCATTTTGGGCGAAAACATCGGTTAACCCACCTTTCATTTAGGAGACTTGGGTGGGACAGTTTTTCTTGGCCGTTAGTCTTAAAGACAATATTTCACCGGGGGAGGTGCTCGTTGCCCCTGTAGAGTTAGTTGATGAACCTTAACCGAAGCCTGAAGCTCAGGGGATTGATGAAATCGCAGCAGATATAGCCAATAGGAATCTTCGTGTCGCAGCAGCTAATAGAAGGATTGACGAGTACAATCAAGAGAGGAGGAGGAAAGGGACTCGCATTGGACATAACTGGTGTTACCATGAGGCAGAGGCGCGTTTGAAATCCCCACGCTTTTTCGCACTGGGAAATGAAGGAAAAAACGATTTTTGGATTCTTACCCTCATCTAGACCTCAATACTTGCTCTTTTATTGATTTTCACAAATGTTGCGAGGATCTTTTCAAGGCAGAGCGGGACTACACAGTCGAAAGAATCAAATTGTATAATACAATTTTCATGCAGGATAATGATTCATTTTCCTCATTCTATGCCCGACTTAGCGCTCAAACTGCGCTGTGTAATTGGCCGCTCGATCAGGAAAGGGCGACGTTGAAGGATTTATTCATTGGCCGCATTCGCGATGTGGAGGTTAAGCGGCAACTAATCAGAGCGAAGGCTAATCTTGATGATACTCTGCAATTGGCATTGGAGAATGAGAAAGGGGCTAAGACCTCAGAACAATTTCAGAAACTACTCCCGCATAACAACACTACTTCCCACAATACCAACTCTATTCGAGTCAAGCAGGAACCGACTTCGTCAGTACAGCAATTCAAGAACCAAGGAAACAGCAGCCGTGGAGGAGCTGTCAACCTCCCTAATCAACGTCAAAGTCAAAATAAACCGTGTTACATTTGCGGTAACCCGTTTTTCCTCGAACACCGCCGGTCGTGTCTGGCCAGAGAAGCTACTTGCAATGCTTGTAAAAAGAAGGGCCATTTTGCTAAGGTGTGTAACACTACGAAGCGACGTGTTAACATGGTACAACATGAGGAGGTATCTTCCGATCAAGAGTGTAACCTAATTGACGTAAACGGTGACAGTGAGCCGGAATATGGAGTCATGGCAATAGACACGTTGTACAGATTAACAATGTAGAACTTTTGAAGGCAGCGGGAGGACAACCAATGAGCCTCAGTGTTCAGATACGTTCTGGTAACTCCTTTTTCTATGCTACGGTGGACACTGGCAGTCCCGTGTCCTTCTTGAACAAGAAAACGGCGGAAATACTAGTGAGGCGGCTTCCCAATGTTAAGTTTACGGACGTCGGGAGATATCCGTTAAGTGTTACTTATGTTGGTTATAACAAGAAACCAATTAAACTGTTTGGATCTCTAGAAATCCCAATTATGTCGAACGGATGGAAAATCGACAATGCGTGTTTCTTGGTTTCCGAAAATCGTACAAGGTATTTGCTCGGGCTGAACCTTCATGAGCAGTTGGGAATTGAAACAGTGCAACGCAAACCGGCGGAAGTTAGCTTGGCGGAACAAGAGCAGGAATTGGATCCGACCTCACAGTTCTGGAGGGATCATTTTGTGAAAAGGTACCCTATTGTGTTCAGCAGGCTGGGGAGGTCGAAAAATGATGAAGTATTCACAAATTTTAAGGATCCTTTGGTGCCTAGACAGGTTAAAGACCGAAAAGTCCCTATACATTTACAAGATCGAGTCACGGCTGAGATTTAAAAGTTAATCAAAGACAAGCACATTGAAAAATTAGAAAAGTGTACCACGGATCATTTCATCGCGCCCATAGTACTAACAGCAAAGAAGGACGGGTCTATAAAACTTGCACTCAATGCTAAACCCATGAATGCTCAAATCTGGCAAAACAAATATCAAATGCCTAATATGCATGAATTAATTGACTCGGCGGCTCAAATCATCACTAGAGACACACCTGGGAACGTGTGGTTTACTTTTCTGACCTTAAATACGCTTTCAGTCAATTACCTTTATCTGAGCTAACCAGTAGTCATTGTAACTTTGGTATTTTGTGTGGAGAGGCAACAGGCACATATCGATTCAAGACTGGTTTCTACGAACTGACGGATATGCCTACGGAATTCCAGAAAGCGATGAACTGTACTTTCAAGGATTGGAAGGGGTCATATGTTACTTTGATGATACACTGGTTGTCACTAAAGGAAGAATTGAGGATCATAATGTACTGGTCGAAAGAGTCATGAATCGATTGAATGAAGAAGTGTGGGCGTTGAAACTTAGTAAATGTGAGTTCTCAGTTAACAAGTTAGTCTGGTTAGAGTACGAAGTCGATGAAAACGGTTACGCCCCGAAATTCTCGAAAATAGAGGCTATTAAATCCCTGTTGCCACCAAAAACCCTTAAGCAGTTAAGATCGTTTATGGGGACCCTCAATCACCTTCAACACTTCCTTCCGGATTTGCACAAAAATACAGTCGCATTCAGAGTTTCGTTAAAAGCGGAGAATAAGAATTCCTTTTTGTGGGGGGAAGAGCAAGATCATGCGTTTCAAAAAATTTTAAACCTCACCGCAAACATCCCCAATTTGTTTCACTATGATGCTTCAAAAGCTTCTCGAGTTAAATCAAATGTTTGGGCCCCGATAGCGTTTGCCTCTAGGTTTCTAAACTCCGCGGAAATCAACTATAGTACCAATGAGTTAGAGCTTCTGGCCATTGTGTGGGCGTGTGAACATTTTTGTACATAGTTACTTAGTCAGCGTTTTGTTATCCTAACAGATCATAGGGCAATTATTTCCGCCCTCAACGAAACGCATGGCAAGAAATCGTATCAGTCACAACTCTTTCGTTGGGCGGATTGTCTTATTCCGTTCGATTATCAGATCGAACATATTCCCGGTTCATCCCTGGGTATTGTGAACTATATGTCGAGACACCCGACTTTTGAAGAACCTTTACCGTCATCACATGATGAATTGTTCGTCATTAAATCTATTCAAGCTTTTCATGATGCTTTAAACTCGATTAGTACTCAACCCAGACCTCGAATAGTGCCGGTGGGGTAAGTTTCATATTGTAACCAACTTCAACCAATCAGATCGTTTGGTAAAACTGGAGGCAATATCAGCTACCTCTTAACTAAAGCGGTGGACCAATCACCAGTTGCTTCATATCACCAATCGCATGTTGGCAATTAGTTTCGCTCGTCGTCCCTAGAGGGCGTCGAGAATAATACTCTACTTGTTAACCAACCCCTCAAGGATATGCTAATTTATCGTCATAATTTCTCGCCAATAGAGGGCGTTATTTCGTGCTCTCAATCAACCAGCCAATCATGTGCTAGTATGCAAAATCGTGATTGTACATCATCGTCGCGAGAGGTCGACTTTTCATGCTCTGGTAATTCGACCAATCACAGCTCAGTATGCAAATGAGATACGCTAAACCGGAAGTTTTTGATCAAACTCATTGTCTCCGACATTACATCTCAGAATTCAGTCACGCTATGGATACTTCAAATAATCTTGCTCAAAACACTACTCTAAACTCTACTCTAAATAACTCTAATGTTTCTAATAATACTGTTGATTTCGCAAACAACACGATCGAACAAACAAATCTCCTCAACTTCGTTGAAAATTTTTCTAATAGTTCCCCTAATTTTCGTACCTCAAGTCAACAAAGACCCGGACTCTCAATAGTTCACCCTATGAATCGCCTGAGCCGCATTGATCAGATACGTACCCGAAACCCTGCCAGAATGCGACGTTCAAGAGAAAGTTTTGTGGTCACCCGAGGACAGACGACACGAAAGGCCCTTGCTCAGTTCCTCGACAAGTGCCGGAGGCAGAGGCAGACGAAACAGGCCAGACAGGGGGAGACACTCAGAATAACCACAAACCGTTGGTCACTCCGGACAAAAAGAAAGTGGTCGGGTTACCAGGCTTGTTCGATGTGGATCTGATGGGAGAGCTGACAGGGGAAGACCCGTTCCTCAGGCCGATGAGGACTGCGATCATCAATAAAGATGTGCAATCCTTCAACAAACTGGGGGCGTACATAGCTCAATTCTGGACGAAGGCGGCGGTGGTGAACAATTGTGTCCTGATAGACAATAAGTTGGCCATACCCGAACAATTACGAAGTGCCATTCTGATTCGACTCTATCGCTCGCATCCTGGCCAGGCGGCCATGATAGACGCCTCGGAATATATATGGTGGCCATTTCTCAATCGCCAAATTGTTAACGTCTGCGAAAAATGCCCGGAGTGTACTTTATTTGGTAAGAACATCAAAACTTCAGCCACTTATAACTCTGCTAAGCCGTTACCAGCGTTGTCCGCTCCGAATCAAGAATTGAAACTTGATTTTGCGGGTCCCCTAATAGTTGATAAGAAGGGGAAAATCTACATTCTAGTCGCAATAGATCGTTTTTCTAAGTTTCCTTCGGTGATGTTAACTAAGACAACCAGTGCGAAAAAAATAGTCAAATTTTTATGATCGTATATTCGTAATTATGGCATACCGGAGACCATTAGGACAGATCGCGGATCTGGGTTTAACTCTGATGTTGTTAAGGATTTTTGCAAACGTAGAGGCATAAAACATATCCTCACAGCGGTGGGGTATCATCAAAGTTGTGGGTTGGTAGAGAGGTCGATCCAGACCATTAAACGAAAGCTGGGAACAGAAAAACTAGATCCTAATTTTAAAATTTTGAAGTCGACTTTACGACAAAATTTTGACGATATTCGGAAAACAAAGCATTCTACGTTAAAATTATCTCCTTTTGAGCTACATTTATGGGAGAAAGCCTAACACTGAGTTTTCGATAGCGCGTGATAATGTTGGTCATTCTCCTACTTCAGCGCAAGGACTGGAGAGAAACGTCCTAACACCGGAGCAGCGATCGAGCCAAGACTACAGCCGCGATAGGGCTAAAGTTGTACCCAGAGGAGCGTCACACAGTCCGGACATCCCTTGTAAATACAAGCCACTCTTTGGTGTGGGCGAGCGTCCAGCAGATAGTCAACCTTACAAGGCCTTGGAGAACCTTGCAAAGGCGGTTAACACCTGGAAGCAGTGGAAACGGAATGTGCCTCCACAATAGGGACAAGAACTTCTCCGCGAATTGGCGGCTCGTAATAGTGACCTCGCAAACTCGCTGAAATCGGGGATCACAAAGGGAACTCTGCGCTTTTACGACAACGTTCGAGATACTTCAGCGCTAGCACTCTCGCATTCCCAGCGAATGAACGTGTCGTCCTCTTCGAGGCCCAAAAGACTCTCAAAAACACGTAAATTAAAAAAATTAGTTTTACAAGATCCTCTAAGAGTCAAAATCTTTCGGAAAGTTTTTGATCGAAAATCGGGAAAGCCTCTGTTCAAACTAGCAAAAATCAAGATTAATCGGGTTACGGACCATACTTACATTACTGACAAAGGGAAAGTCTATCGAACATTTATCTCTCGATAATTTTAACCACCCTAAGTTTTCAGCTACGCCTGGCACGGTGGGAGAACGGTTACAGAGACGAATTCCTCCACGGCCTCAATCTCAGCGATCTACTTCTCCAGCTCCGAGGCAAATAAATGAACTTTCGAAGTGCAAGGTGGTTGACCTAACGGCAGAGTCATCAAGCGAGGACTCCTTAGTCACCGGACCCCAGCTTGAGTTGGTGGAGGCACCTGTTGCAGCGCCTCAAGGTTTGGCTCCCGCGGATGCTACATCGAAAGCTCTGGTTGTACATCCTCTGACAAACCCCACCTCGAAATCTTCCACAGGAGTTCAAGCAACGCCTCAGGATCCGCCCAACACACTTCAGCCACAGACTTCAGGCACCGTTCCTCAGACTGCAACTCAGGGCCCTGCGGCTACTGGTCATGCGGAGGATGGCGATCCAACTACCCAATCTACGAGCGATTCTACCAGATTTTCTGGTCGGTCCAAGAAACCGACGAGGTTTTATGGCGATCCTCTTCGCCATTCGGTCAAGAGCGTAACTGATTCCGACCCTGCGGAGTTTTCGTCACAACAACCGATCCCAGAACAGACGATTACTACACCTTTCACCCCGACTGTCCGAAAAGGATCGCAGTTGCCTTTTCCCAGAACTAAAGAGCAAACTACTCCGTTTAAGAAAATCAGAATAGACGAGCATGATAAAACTTCTTAAACTTAAAACTCACATAAACTACGCTCTATTTGGCTTGTGATTGGGTTAAGCGCTTAATGTTTTCCTCATTATTCTGCCTTATACATTCCAAAATTTATACTATGATAAATTTTTTCTAGAGGAGGAAGTGTCATGAGGCGACCTTCGGTACCTCATTCTATTCTATTTACTTATGTATGTCTTATATAACTATGTCTTAATTATTTACTTATAGTGCAGTAAATTGATTCAAGGACAAATCTCACCAGCCAAATCGTGTGTCACTTGAGAAGCTGAAGCGGCCAGTTGCGAAAGTCTAATGTGTGAAATCTAGTCGATAAAAACATTCGTGTTAATAAAACAATCTAATCAATCTGGAATCGTTATTTCTATATACATTATTCTATTCTATCTATTTATATATCATATTTAATTCAGTATTCGATTTTTACAAAAACTGTTTTCCCTACTCCAACTGAGGGAAATCTCAATGATTACTTCTAATCTCTAAATATCTACAATTTAACATTTCAATTAGACGATGATATCGAGTTCCAATCGGATTGCATAACTGCAGTATGCCGGAAATTTTACTACTACGCATGTTTTGTAAATTAACCAACCGCACCTTATGAAACTAGCCGAAGCTTAGATTTTTTCCCTAAGATAAGCAACTGTGATTCTAGCTTTCGTTCTGCTATCATGGAAAAAATATATGGTTCGCAGGTCTTGATAAAGATGGCTAGGAACAGTGAAATCAGTACCCGGGCAGATTTATCCCACATGAAGGGAGAAACGCCAGACCTCTGGACCCAAACAGGACCACTGGGAAAAAATGAGAAGGCACCTTATGGATACTACCCAGAAGGATATGGCACATACAGTCCAAAAAAGGAGAAATATCCCAAGTGGCGGACTGATTCGCCCAGTCAGAACATGGTACACTCTCCCCATCCTATTCCGATGGGCATGGGGCCCAATACGAGTCCCCGGAAAGGAAAGAAGGGGCGAGGGAGGGGAAAGCCTAAGATGATGGCATCCCCTCCAGGCAGAGGACAGAAACAAACACCCAGACCATATTACCAGCAGGGGGGAATGGGGGAACAGCACGATCCATTGCAAGGCCGATACAGACCAGGCTACCCTTTCATGGCCCCAATCACAAACCAGAGACTGATTCCAGAGCCCGGCTTCCAAATTCCACAGGGCATGTACTCTATGCATTCGCCCAACCATATTCAGAGAAGAGACATGGGAGTGGGCACTTCTCCCCCTTACTCGCCCAGGGGCCAACAGATGCAGCCAGAGCGCCGATGGCCATCCCAACCCCCACCTCCTCCCCCTCCTCCTCCCCATCCCCCTCAGCAGTGCCACCCGACAGTAGGGTGTCAGACTAGTCCCCACCTGATGCAACAGTATCAGCCACCTCAGCATCCACCTCAACAACAGATGATGATGACCATGCCGCCTCCACGGATTTCAAGTGAGAAATGATCGTTTGATATCTTCTTTTATATTTGAACGGCATAATCGGTTGATTTCATTTGGAAACAAAGAAAGCCTACAAAAATCCTTCATTTTTATGCCGTCGATATGTCTTACTCGAGGAAACTAGAAAATTAGCCTAGCAAGACTCACACTATTACTGTGATTTGCCTCTCAGTTTTTCTACAGCCAGTTTAACTCTTTAATTGTTCCTGACTTAATATCCGGGGAGGAACTTAATATCCGGCTGTTTTAGTTTTTGCTTTGTTTTTTTTTGGTGCTTATACAAAACAGTCCCATACAAAACAGCCCAAAACAAAATAGTCCAAAAATCATGTAATGAATAAAAAACTATCTAATCAATACCAAAGGTCAATAGATCAAACAAAATGAACATCTCACAACATTCCCCCTCTGGTAAAAATAATAAAATTTTGAATAAAACTAAAACTAAACTATATATACACCCATTTCCTCTTTCAAATTAGAGTGAACAAAGTTTACAAACAGACAAAACAAAATGAAATGAAAAAAAAACGAAAATTAAAAATCTACAATTTGGGATTGTATGTACAAGTTTGTACAAATGGGTGAATTGAACAAATAACATTAATAAAACAAAGAAAATTAAACAAATATACGCTACCCAATGTACACATTAAAAAATGATAGGGCAATATAAATTGTCAAAAAAATCTTAAAATGGTTATGACGTTGATGATAAAAAAATGGAGTTTATTTGAATTCTTGGAGTTTTAATTGAATCTTGCATCAAATTCATCTAGAAAGTAACTCGAGTCCTGGTCAATAGTCAAGGAGGTTTTGCTCATAGAGTCATAGAAGTCAGGTGAACAGAATGAGCAGCCCCCGTTGGAGTTGAATTGTTCGATGACCAAATATGAGTTGTTTCGGCGACAATAGTCTGTTCGTGAGATTATTTAGGGTTAAGTCCGAAGTTGACCAACAAGGGAAGGCTGGGGGCGTCGCTAAGTCGCCCTTGAGTCTAGATATCTTCTCGTTTTCCTCTACGTTATCAACGTATCTGCGCTCCCCGTAAAACTGTGAGGGTCGTATATTTCGTCAAGGTCTGGTTGAAGGTCTTGTCTGAGTGACCATGAGGGGCCTCTCTTCTGATGAGATACCCAGCAAAACTGGTTCTACTGCCGAACCAGACATCGATTGTCTAGGTAGTCTGCTTGAGTGGGCAGTGACCATCGGTCCACAAATTTTCGGTTTCTGCATTCGGCGTCTAATAGTCACCTGTAACACTCAAGTCATTGTTATGATTTGTGGCTGACTATTTCCTGACATATCGGAGCGTTGTTGTTCGAAACGTCTTCGAAATAATCATCAACCAAGCCGTCCCATGAATTTAAATTCAGCGAAGAAGACGAAGAATAGGAACCTGATATTTTCTGTGGCGATTCTGGAATGATCACTATTTGCGGCAAGATCTGAATGGTTCCAAGCGTCAGGGTCGTGTTGCCAGAAATTGGCTTCCTAAGGGAGTCCGTCCGGATTGCCTTCTTCAGTAGCGACCTTTTCTTTTTACCAGCTAAAATCAGCATGTTTTCACGGTCGGTCCCCATAAGTCGTGGATAAACAAGAACTTTTGGAGGCTACGGAATTGTTTTTTTTTTGATCGCTGGTTCAGATTTTTGTAAAATGTGTCCACTTTACAGAGTAACAGTGTGTTCCGAAGGATCAGTGATAGCCTCCTTGCGGGTCTCCATTTTTCCGATTGTTGTTTCTTCTTAAAATATAACCGCCGATGGTCAGTTTCGCTTGTTAAGGGGGTCTACGTTGGGCGGCACTGATCGGGATCGTCCGATTTCTTGAGGAGACTTCAGCCAGATGGAGGTTCGCTTCTGAGTCTGAGGAAAGATCCATGTCTGCGTCTTCGTATCCAACCTACTCTGCCCCATCATGGAGCTTCCAGTTCCCCGCCCGATGAACCGACAAAATCGATTTCCATTGATCTAAACGATTATCAACAGAGACAGGTTTTTCCACTGAGTATTAGCAGTGCGGTAAAAAAAATTTTAGAACGGGTTACATCCGATGGAAGGTTGTTCGGTAATTCGTAAGTTCCAAATCATTTTTTCGATTGAGGATTTCAAAGTCAATTTGGGTAATCCGTACGAAAAAGCAGAAGTTTGGATTTTACGGTATATACAAGTCTTTCCACAAGTCCGTTTAATCTATGATCTCCTACTGTACAATAATAAATTAGATATTGAACTTTTCGTTATAAGGTTTAAAATTGTGTTACAAAAAACATGACACATGTTCGACTCTGATTTAAGGTTCTTACCGGCTTTCAAGCACTGCCTGCAAAACTTGCCATGGTGATAGATCTCTCTATGAATATGCGGCCACCAAATATATTCCGCCAGAAATTCAATGCCGAAGTGGCCTGGGTGGGCTTCGTGCAAAATTGAACTGAACGCCCCTCGGACCGCTGCTGGCACTACAAGTTTGTTGTCCAGGAATAGGAGCTTGTCCCTAGTGAGCAAGTCTTTCTCGCAATTCTTCGTATACGATCCATGAATTCACAGTGGGCGGCCATTCTTTAGTGTGGTTATTAAGTCCCATAAATTTTTATCGTCCTTTGTCATGATTTGGAGAAGCTTCTTAGAATAGTGATTTTCTGGTATTAGCGGTGATTATGGTGAGGATAAACTCGCCTTATACCGTTCCAAAAAGGCCGCATGATCACTAATTAGAGTCTCGTCCTAAAACTTTAGGGTAATTAAGCATTATGAAGTGCAACCGGGCCTTATCCGTAGATTAAATGTTTTAAAACTTAAATTTGGAATAATCTATAGGGAAGCAATTAGATGAACAGTTTTTTGATCTAACGAGGGCATTATTGCAATTTTTGAGTTACTGGGCAATACAAGAAATGAGTTTAAAAGAAGCTAAAGAGCTATCAGTAAAATTTCGACCGATCACATCGCTTGAATTATTCGTACCCTACGGGAAGTTAGTATTTACAATAGTACTTACAGCGACCGACGGTCGATCTACAGTTACTCTAAATACAAAAATAAAAATAAATGAATTCCTTAAGATGTTTTAAAATAGGTCGATAGAAACCACGATGATTTTTTCATCGTAGTTGGAAGGGGGTGAGACTTTGCCTAAAGGCAGGTTTAATCAAAAATCAGTGAATCCCATATCTTTACCCGCAAGATGAGAAATTTTGAAATTGAATGGCAAAAAACTGATTACCAATCGGGTAAGTCTGATGTGCAATGTTTTTTTACTATCGAACTCAAAATCAGAATCATATAAACAGTTTCTAAAATGTTCAGTTGCCAAGACTACACCTAAAATTTCCAGTTCATTGGCGGAGTATTTCATTTCATGGTTATTCAAAAACTGGAGGCTAACGCAATGGTTTTCCACTCCCTCTTGAAACTGTTCAAGTGTGGCTCCTAAGCCGTTATGTGAGGCATCTGTTTTTAATCTTATTTTTTCTTTGATATCGAAATGACTATTCTCGGGAAAATTTACAATTTCAGATTTTCATTTTTTCAAATGCAATGGAATGACTGCAGTTCTATTGGTAAACTGACTTTTGTTGAGTAATGGTCGTAATGGGGAACTGAGGAGGAAAGGCTCGGGACGAATTCAACCTATTGATTAATCGAACCAAAAAATGAACGAAGTTCGGAGATGTTTTTTGGAGTTGGGAGGTCTGCTTTTCCAACCACAGATCAAGCCATTTTATGTTGTTCTTCTAGAATTCCCTTAAAGCCACTAGCATGTCATCTAGATAATATTTTGTGAATAGGATTCCTTTCAAAAGTGAGTCCATGACTCTTTGAAACTCGTCAATTCTATAAAACCATAAAGTCCTGTTAAAAATCTGTATATCGCAGTGGTATCTCCTACTATACTAAAGTTGCACTGTTTACTGCTCCTTAGCTGCTGAGTTGACTATAAGCTATCTTTGGATCGAGGTTACTAAACCAGACCTGCCCGTCGGTATTATCAGACAATTGCAAAACTACATTATCCATCAATTCGTGGATGTGCGGAAGACCCCTAACTTGAGCTGAAAAATGGGGGTCTCAGGGCTGTAAAACGCTTGTTTGAGCTTGAAGGAGTGCTCGCATTAAATTCGTGGATGTTGGGCGCATCTGGTATTTATTTTTACAAATCTGGTCGATCAAAAATTGTGAATCTAAGGCAAGTTTAATTGCACCGTTTTTCTTTCTAGTGAGCACAATTGAACTTATAAAGCAACCTTCGTCGCCTTTCTCAAGTTTTTCAAAATGGCCCTCTGTTTCCATTCTTTTTAACTCCTCATTCACTCGCGATAATAAATGTAGGGGCACTCTTCTGCTTATGAAAAGGGATTGGAAATGTGTGACTTAACGGCTTTACGGTCGTTTGGTATCTTGCCTATTTTCTTAAACTGTTTTTAAAATTCACAAAAAATTCATTTGTCAGAAATTCTAGTTTATTGGACTTACTCTTCCCAAGTGAGTCGCTGACTGTACAATTCGAAAGTGGGCACTTCTACTGTCTTGCTTCGATTTCCAGTTTTGGAAGGTTGTCGTTGCCCAGGATGTCTCTTTCGTGTCCTCCCATAAGAAGGGGTCTCTTCACATATCCACCCGTTGGACTGAAATCTAACTATGATTTTACCCAAGATATTAATTGTATTGTCCGTGAAACCGCAGTACAACTGTTTAATTCGCTTGACCACAGGATGAATGTTCAAGTTTGGGTATCTTAGTTTCAGCTCGTGTAACACGCTTTGCTTTGAAAAGCTCACTGGGCTGGCCGAATTTTGCATTAGTTGTATGCTATCTTCTCATTTTCATTTGAGTGCAGCTCAGGTATATTATTTCTGACATGAAGAGTCGTTTCTATTATATAATATTGGATGCGCTGTTGATTGCAGTGGAGCAGATCTTGATCGGGTGTTGGGTTAAGTTTAGTTACATGTAACAGGGAAATTCTTTTTTTTGTGCAGGCCCTCAGCCAGACTGCTG